TACAGCAGCTGCAGCAACCAGCCTTGTGATTCGCCTTGCGCAACCTGGGAATGAATCCCAGAATGCGTAATGTTCTGAAGCCTGTACCCGGATCTTGGTAAAGGTTACGGGAGATGGGAACTACAAGAGTACGTCGCCTGCAGGTATCTTCGCTGTGGTGTGTGAATGCCATCTTCACAGCGGCCTTTTGCGTTGTATTTCCAGCCTTTTCTTTGAGTCGTTTTGGACTAATTACTCCCACAGGGCTATTTTAGCACTCACTATAGGATCTCTGGGAGTGGCGGGTGGCAGAGGTCCCAGCGCTAGCGAGGTTAGTGATTGTTGTTGTTGTTGTTGTTAAAGATTCGCTACCTGGAACAAAAAGTTCCAAGCAACACAGGCTATGGTGAGCCCGTAGATAGTCAGTGATAGTCAGATGTAGGATAGGTTAAGGGAGCCCAGTCTCAACCTTAGAAGAAACATGGGAGTTATGATTACTGCATAACAAGTGTTGAGGGAGGATAGACAAGATGTACAAGGACAACTTCTTTAATTAGGGAGAAAGTAGAACGAGACATAAATGAAAAGTGTAATACAAGTATGGAAGTACTCTTACCATTAACGGGGCCGGTCAAAATATGTTTTCATACTGTGTATTTATAATGATGAAGTCATAACAGAACCACAACTCTTATTTATTTGTCGATATCGTCTCCTCTGAGTTGGATATGCTTCACTGGCTCTTCAAACACTGAGAGCGGTGCCCCGGAGGGAAAACCTCAACTTTCAAAACTTTCAACTTTCAAAACAACTTAAAATTTGTTAATTGAGAGTATGTATAGGGTTGTCTTCTAGTTGCGTTTACACACGCTCGCACACGCGCGCGCAACTAGGCGAGTAAAAAAAAAAATACCTTCGCACGTACACCTTTGGTGCATGAAATGTATGTGGCAGGAGTGTGTTGAGTAGCAGGATCACGTCTCTGCCTAGTAGTCCTGGGTTGTCTCCCAGATGAGTATCCTGGATTGGCTTCGTGCAGGCCAAGCGAGTGGCCACTGGAGACCAGCCTGAATGTTAAGGTTTTGGGAATCCAATCTGCCTACACCCTAGGTATCCTAAATAGTGATCAAGGGACTCCCATGCGAAGTGCCAACTTCACTCCTTCTTTCGTAGAGTTGAATGTGCGGTGTCTACCATAATCCAGCTCGTGGATGTGGCTAATCCTGTCCAGCATCCTCAGTGGTGCTACCATCATGCCTCTACGTAGTTCCTTCGCGGTTGAATCTTATTTTTCCACGAATTTTGTGAAATTTATTCTAAAGTTAACAATAATACAAATGTTCTCTCTGGTCATATTTACAATTTCACCCTTAAACAACAAATATTTTCACACTATAGAACCCCAGAACCGTATTATTTAACCTCTTAAGTTACAATTAGTAGACCATATTGGTAACAACCCGTATATATATATCACTACAACTTTGGCTGGAATGAAACATGTGTTAAAGCAGTGGGAATCAAATATACATTATCTGATATTAAAAACATTTAGCTAAACAATTTGAGCGGTGATATATTGGTCAAGCACTGTGTAGTAATGACAACGGTCATAGTAATAAGAACTGTAGTAGCAGTCACGGTGGTAGTGTCAGTAGTAGTCGTACTGATGATCTTCTTATCTTGAGGTTATCTTGAGATAATTTCGGGGCTTTAGTGTCCCCGCGGCCCGGTCCTCGACCAGGCCTCCACCCCAGGAAGCAGCCAGTGACAGCTGACTAACACCCAGGTACCTATTTTACTGCTAGGTAACAGGGGCATAGGGTGAAAGAAACTCAGCCCATTGTTTCTCGCCGGCGCCTGGGATCGAACCCAGGACCACAGGATCACAAGACCAGCGTGGTGTCCGCTCGGCCGACCGGCTCCCTAGCAATAGTAAAGTATCATATTTGTAGTAGTAATAGCACTTGTATTTAAGACTATCAGAAGCTAAATATAGGACACTGAAACTTGCATCATTTTATTCAAATAATGAATCTTTCGCCATTGCTAAAATTAGAATTGTGATGTCAGTGGAGACCTTGGGAGACGGTGATGATCATGGGTAGAGTGGCCCGGGCCACTTGGGCACAGTAGCCTGATCTGTTTGTTCAGAGCGCGAGCGTTCACTGGCTCACAGCTGGTAAATCTCGCCCGGTCATGGGGAATTGAATTGAAATAAGTTTATCATGGGGAAGGTGGGTGAGATAGGCTGGTCGAGCGTGTCTCTGCGGGTTAGAGAACCTTCATATACCCTTTCGTTCTCTACTCAAAGTATTTCTCTTGGCTTCTCCACCCTGTGAAGAAAGTATTGCAGGCGGGCGCTGTCACTGACTACCAACACCTGGCGGGTCTGGTGCAGATGCTCAGAGTTTAAGATGCAATGTTGCCTCCGCTTCATGCACGTCGGCGTTCAATCCCCGACCGTCCAAATGGTTGGGTACCATTCCTTTCCCCCCGTCCCAGCCCAAATCCAGATCCCTTCCAAGTGCTATATTGTCGCAGTGGCTTGGCGTATTCCCCTGATAATTCCTCCCTACATCCCTCCTTAGTTTACTGTAAACTGTGTCCCTCTCTACCACGCCACACATCCCAGCCTAGTCGAGCCCCAGCATACAGGGGGCGGGGAAGGCTCACCCGCACAGCTAACCTACACACCGCTAATCTCTAATAACGCGGCCAGCAAACCACATTGCATGCCGTACCGTTTCTTATCAGAGGTGTTGCTACCTTCCCTGGTGCCTGGCGGAAGTCTGCCGTGGTGGCCGTGGTGGGGAGGGTGGCGGACACCCGTCCAAGATATGAGAGTGGTAATTATAGTGACACTGTGTGTGTGTGTGTGTGTGTGTGTGTGTGTGTGTGTGTGTGTGTGTGTGTGTGTGTGTGTGTGTGTGTACACGTAGGGGGAGCCGATGCGGCTGTAGTGAACCTCAGCCAGCACGTCAATAACTGATACACATCACAAAGGTAAACATATGCTTCAGTGAGTGTGATGCTGCTAGTACCATCTTGACACCCCATAAAAGCTTCGTAACGTGTACACACATCCATAATAAAGCCACAATAGTGTAAAGTTTCCTTCTCAACTTCAACAATGTTGTTCCTAATAAGAACATTCTCCTTTTATACCTCATTTGTTTTCCACTGATGTCTCATCCAACCACTTGGGCTGGACGGTAGAGCGACGGTCTCGCTTCATGCAGGTCAGCGTTCAATCCCCGACCATCCAAGTGGTTGGGCACCATTCCTTCCCCCCCCCCCCGTCCCGTCCCAAATCCTTTTCCCGATCCTTTCCAAGTGCTATATAGTCGTAATGGCTTGGTGCTTTCCCTTGATAATTCTCATTCCCCTTCCACCCCCCCCCCCCTTTTCTCTCACCACACATGTTTGTTTTTCCTCTTCTCTCACTCCTCCCTAGTAGCTCTCAACCCTCCTTCAGTCATTTTTTTCCCTATTAGTCCTCTTTTATTGTGTCCCTTTCCTTACATTCTACTAAAGTGTTTTTATGTTTATATGAGTGTTTATATATTTATTTTTTCATGGTTGGGTTATTCTTTTTTTTCCTAAAGTGAATCTTAAGTGGCAAGAGGCTATGGTATATTTGATTAGTAGTATTGTTGTTGTTTGAGATTCGCTACCTGGAACAAAGTTCCAAGTAGCACGGGCTATGGTGAGCCCGTAGTGATTAGTAGTAGTCCCGGTATTGTATATGGAGAATATAGTCATGTGTCGTACCTCAGCATGAGGATGGGTTGGACTAGTGCGTGGTTAAGGGGGGCGGCGCCCCTCCGCCCACCAACACACTGATGGTAGTGGGTGACTGGGGCCAGGGACTTGGCAAGTATGGGGAGAGAGAGAGAGAGAGACGGAGCGAGGGAAGCACATATAATTAAAGCATAGCATGTGTGGGGGGAACTCCCAACTTCCTTATAGTAAACTGGTAGTTAACTCTTCAGCGCGTATACTGAGGCGTAAAGTGATTAGCATCGATCCTCTACGTGTTCAGTTCTGCGGCGTATCTGCCGCCTTGATGTGCTGCTTTGATTGTGTACTTGTTCCCCTTAACTGTGGGCCTCGAGCCTTCCTCGTTGCCTAGTCGGGCCCTCGTGCATTGCCAACGAGGTGCACCACTTTCTCTAATTAAGGAGTGTTGATTAAACTCTGCTGCCTCCCAGGGGGAACTCTGCTGACTCCCAGGGGGAACTCTGCTGCCTCCCTGCAGAACTCTGCTGACTCCCAGGGGGAACTCTGCTGACTGCCAATGGGAACTCTGCTGACTCCCAGGGGGAACTCTGCTGCCTCCCTGCAGAACTCTGCTGACTCCCAGGGGGAACTCTGCCTCATTAATCATTTTTCTTCAATATTTTCCGTTGCGAGAATTTTAATGTATTTTTCCTCTTTAACATAAATCTGTTTAGTGAGCATGCGCGTCCCACTGGTAATGATTACTTTCAGGATCTGACGGCTGGCGAACACGTGTGTCATTAATTACCTGCGCTTCACCTACCTCAGGTGGTGGGCGCTACACCTGAGTGATAGGTCGTCATACACCTGGTTCGCCCTCGATGGACCGCCGCTCGATGGACCGCCCCTCGATGGACCGCCGTCGATGGACCGTCCACTTTGTGTGTACCAGAACACGCTGCTCAATAACTGCTTCATCTGGTGCTTATTAAACCTCCTTCAATCACGAATGAGGCGGCGGCCCTTAATGATGTGACGGCTCCTTAAGACAAGTGTGCTCTCACGAACGTAGTTAGCGAGCAGTGGAGTAACGACGGCTGGTTCCAGGTCTTCTCGACCTGTAGTTATCGAATTGTCGTCCCGAGGTTGAGTTGCCGTTACGTTAATTGCCGTACTTTTCACTACATCTACATTTGGTACCTTTAATGACATCATTAGGCTTGCCAGTACATATGGGCATCTCGTAAGTACCACAACTGGCAGTGGAAAGCTCATCTCTTTAAGTGCCAAACCAGAAAATGACAGTGGGAGCAGCTGCCACCACCACCACCACCTCCAGCACGGAACAGCAGCACACAGTAGCAGGAGCGAGGGATGGTGCTGGAGAGGCACCAGTGGATGGGTCTGGGCTGCAGGTGGGGGATAGGGGCGAGGAGGAGGGTGCAGATAGCGCCGAGTTAGGGTGGGGGATAGAGGAGTTAAAACACCCTCATATGTCCGACAGGTCCCTCTCCCCCACCTATCCTTCTGTGCTAGGTGTATGTACTGGACCTGGCTGGCGTATAAGAAATATTGCCGGAACAACCGTGGACATTTTCAAGAGGAAACTAGATTTATTCCTTCAAGGAGTGCCGGACCAACCGGGCTGTGGTGGGTATGTGGGCCTGCGGGCCGCTCCAAGCAACAGCCTAGTGGACCAAACTCTCACAAGTTAAGCCTGTCCTTGGGCCGGGCTTGGGGAGTAGAAGAACTCCCAGAACCCCATCAACCAGGTATCAACCAGGTATCAACCAGGCGTGTTGATATTCTGTCACCATAATAAACGCAATAACTGTGGTAGTACTAGCAACGTCTCGGAAAATTATCTCGTTTTGCTGTTCAGCATTGTGGCGATGGTTGTGTAGCCCACACACACACACACACACACACACACACACACACACACACACACACACACACACACACACACACACACACACACACACACATACACACACTCCTACACTGTTCCGGGAAGACGCCACTAACGGAGAAGCAAACATGCACCAGTACCCGGCTTGACCGGCACGACATGACTTAATTGTTCAGGTGAGTCCTTGTTTTGGACGACTTGAGAGAACTGGAGCACATGGGTAACGTGCGAGTGACGAATTATAAAATATTAGAATAGTGGGTTGTGGGAGTCCTGGGGAGTGACCTGGACCTCCTGGGACACCACTGTGAAGGACTTCCTGGTCACTGGCCTCAATCTTTGGACCCTCGACAAAGATATTCAATAGAAGACCAAATGATGAGTATATCTTTGGTCCTGGAAGGTGGCGTCGAGTTCCCAATAAGTGATATTGAACAAATTTACCTCGAACAGTTGTAAATAAAAAGGCCTGACACCCAAGATTATAATTTGTTTTATTGATATTAATATTTATTGTTGAATAAATTTTTTTATTGCACTCGGTATTATTAATGACTCCTGTCGTTAGGGGACTGAAGAAATTTGAACAAATCGAGTAAACATTCCCTCCCACCCTCTCTCTTCCCCCTCTCCCCTCTCTCCCCTCTCTCCCTCCCTCCATTTACAACTTGCAACACGACGTTATTGTCAGTTATTAATCTCACACAAGCGTGAGCTGGAGGGGCTCACGAGGGGTCCTATACCCTGGGGTGGCTGGGGTATAGGACCCCAGCCTATAGAGACCCCAACATGAGAACCCGTCTTCTCATGCTGGGGTAGAGAAGACGGGTTCTGGCGGGAAAAAGAAAATGGTGATAAGAGTAAAGTAGGAAGAAAGCAAATGGATAATAATAGATTTAACATTATTTACAACCTGTGGCACTGAGGCCTGGCACGCACAGGCAAGGCAACAATGAACCGGGTGACGTATATTTATGCACGTGTATGTTCGAGTAGCAGACATTTTTAGAGGCCGTGCTTTCTCATACCAGATGGATCCATAGTTGTATCCAAGGGAAACTAACGTACCAAACTTGTTGAATTTTGAGGAAATATTTGCGTAGGAATTGTACGTTGTCCTCTGTAAAACTTGACTGTGCGGTATTGTGAATTAGCTAGGGAAGGTTAGGTTAGGTCGTGCGCATATTTGTAGGTGAAACCGTACCGTTTATACGTGTGTCCAGGATGGTACCTGTCAGTGAGCCTGTGTTTTAGTATTAGTATATATCTAGCCAGTACACCAGAGGTACCACGGGAGACATCTCCCGTCACGCAGGGTGCAGTCGCACCTCCTCAGATCTCTAGTATCATCTATTGATACTGGTAATGGCTCAAAAGGGCCACCACTTACGGGCTATTCATGCCCGTGCCACCTTTTGGGTGGCTTAATCTTTATCAATCAATCACCAGAGGTACGGGTACGTGTCCCGGGCAGGGTTACCTTGAGGTGATTCCATGGCTCAGCGACCCCGCGGCCCGGTCGTCGACCAGGCCGCGGTCGCGTTCTCCAGGGTGCTCTGGAGAACATTTCTCCTCCACATACTCGCCTCTCTCCTTCCACCAGTAAATCCTCACCTGGATGTAAATCACCTGTTGGATCGTGCTCTGGGAAAATCATGCCGCTTAATAATGTTAATAACATGTTCCAACATTAATACAAGAATTGGCTCTTACTCTGTGTGCGACGCATAAAATCGAGAATCTGTAAATAATTGAGTTGACAAATAGAAAGGTCGAATTTGGCAACTTACACCATGAAGCCTCAGACTAGTGAAGACGAACATGTACAGGCTGGAGAGAGTTGAATTTCTGAAGGAGTAAAAGTACCTTATATAAAGACGGAAAGTTCGGAAAGTGTGACTAAATGTGAAGTACCGTAAGATATATTTTAATGTCAACCTTTGTTGAATATTATTGGTGAAAGTGAATATTATTGGTGAAAGTGAATATTATTGGTGATAATGTGAATATTATTGGTGAAAGTGAATATTTGGTGATTGGTGAAAGTGAATATTATTGGTGATAATGAATATTATTGGTGAAAGTGAATATTATTGGTGATAATGAATATTATTGGTGAAAGTGATATATTGGTGATTATTATTGGTGAAAGTGAATATTATTGGTGAAAGTGAATATTATTGGTGATAATGAATATTATTGGTGAAAGTGAATATTATTGGTGATAATGAATATTATTGGTGAAAGTGAATAATATTGGTGATAATGAATATTATTGGTGAAAGTGAATATTATTGGTGAAAGTGAATATTATTGGTGATAATGAATATTATTGGTGAAAGTGAATATTATTGGTGAAAGTGAATATTATTGGTGATAATGAATATTATTGGTGAAAGTGAATATTATTGGTTAAAGTGAATATTATTGGTGATAATGAATATTATTGGTGAAAGTGAATATTATTGGTGAAAGTGAATATTATTGGTGATAATGAATATTATTGGTGAAAGTGAATATTATTGGTGATAATGAATATTATTGGTGAAAGTGAATAATATTGGTGATAATGAATATTATTGGTGAAAGTGAATATTATTGGTGAAAGTGAATATTATTGGTGATAATGAATATTATTGGTGAAAGTGAATAATATTGGTGATAGTGAATATTATTGGTGATAGTGAATATTATTGGTGAAAGTGAATATTATTGGTGAAAGTGAATATTATTGGTGATAATGAATATTATTGGTGAAAGTGAATATTATTGGTGAAAGTGAATATTATTGGTGATAATGAATATTATTGGTGAAAGTGAATATTATTGGTGAAAGTGAATAATATTGGTGATAGTGAATATTATTGGTGATAGTGAATATTATTGGTGAAAGTGAATATTATTGGTGATAGTGAATATTATTGGTGAAAGTGAATATTATTGGTGAAAGTGAATAATATTGGTGATAGTGAATATTATTGGTGATAGTGAATATTATTGGTGAAAGTGAATATTATTGGTGATAATGAATATTATTGGTGAAAGTGAATATTATTGGTGAAAGTGAATATTATTGGTGATAATGAATATTATTGGTGAAAGTGAATATTATTGGTGAAAGTGAATATTATTGGTGAAAGTGAATATTATTGGTGATAGTGAATATTATTGGTGATAATGAATATTATTGGTGAAAGTGAATATTATTGGTGAAAGTGAATATTATTGGTGATAATGAATATTATTGGTGAAAGTGAATATTATTGGTGATAGTGAATATTATTGGTGAAAGTGAATATTATTGGTGAAAGTGAATAATATTGGTGATAGTGAATATTATTGGTGAAAGTGAATATTATTGGTGATAATGAATATTATTGGTGAAAGTGAATATTATTGGTGAAAGTGAATATTATTGGTGATAATGAATATTATTGGTGAAAGTGAATATTATTGGTGAAAGTGAATAATATTGGTGATAGTGAATATTATTGGTGATAGTGAATATTATTGGTGATAGTGAATATTATTGGTGAAAGTGAATATTATTGGTGATAGTGAATATTATTGGTGACTTAAGGCCTATCTACCTCAAGCTTGTGGTGGCCTTAATAACCTCAAGAGATTATTAAGTACAGGAACATGCGTAGAAAAAAGGTTAAATTATGGGGAAAATGTAAAGCATGGGAATAAGGAAGAAGTATGTGAATAAGATAGGAATATAAGAATAAGGTAAGAATAGTTATGAGTTTTGAGGTTTGCTGTCTTCTCTACAGCTGCTATTCATTTAGTGTCTTGTGTTGACACTAATGATGATGCATTACTAATTATTGTCTCATTGTCGGGTATTTGAATTATTGAGGAAAATATAGTACCCAGCGACTGGTGGTGGGTGTGGGGTGTGGGAGTAGGCTGGTGGTGGTGTGGTGTGGGAGTAGGCTGGTGGTGGTGGTCGTGGGGGGATTGGGGTGTGAGTATGCTAATAAGGGCGAGGGTGGATGATGTGGGTATTTTGGTTCACGTGAGTGGCTTGTGTTGCTGGAGGCGTTTGTGGACATTGGCTGTTACACGACCACTGTGTGTGCGTGTGTGTGTGTGTGTGTGTGTGTGTGTGTGTGTGTGTGTGTGTGTGTGTGTGTGTGTGTGTGTGTGTGTGTGTGTACTCACCTGTGTGTGTGTGTGTGTGTGTGTGCAGTTGTGTTTGCGGGGGTTGAGCTCTGGCTCTTTGGTCCCGCCTCTCAACCGTCAATCAACAGGTGTATCAACCGTCAATCAACAGATGTGTGTGTGTGTGTGCATTGGTCTAGTTGTGCTTGCAAGGGTTGGGCTTCGGCTATTTGCTCCCGCCTCTCAACTATCAGTCAACTGGTGTATAGGTTCCTGAGCCTATTAGGCTGCATCGTATGTACATTCGAAACTGTGTATGGAGTCTGCCTCCACCACATCACTTCCTTATGCACTCCATCTGCTAACTACTCTAAGGCAGAAATTCCTTCTAATGTCTCTGTGGCTCATTTAGGTACTAAGTTCCTCCTGTGTCCTCCCAGATG